TAGCCGCAGCAATAAAACTCTCTTCAATAGTACAATAACACAACAATAAAACCACAACAATACCATAATAATCTCACAATAACACCAACATCCCTCGTTAAAAAAAACTCGAGAATACTGCAGAGATAATACTGTGGTAACCCTATAAACCATTACCCCACAATAACACCAACATCAAAGATAATAACACCATAATCACACGATAATAAAACCATATAGCCGCAGCAATAAAACTCTCTTCAATAGTACAATAACACAACAATAAAACCACAACAATACCATAATAATCTCACAATAACACCAACATCCCTCGTTAAAAAAAACTCGAGAATACTGCAGAGATAATACTGTGGTAACCCTATAAACCATTACCCCACAATAACACCAACATCAATCGATATACCTCAGATCTGGATGTTCTTATTGTTGTCTTCGTCGAAAACATTCTCAACGAGGCTAAACTCGCACATATCTGGAAGTGGTTGTCATTCTCTTTGTCGGCAGAACAATCCTTTTCGGCAGCTCCAAACCCTAAAGTGCAAAACTAAAGTGGGGGAAAATCGAGAAAAGGCCTTATGCATTAAATTTTCAGGAAAAAGGAGTATCAGGCCTGATCGGGTGTCAAAAATTAGAGTTTTTAACATAAATAATATCAGTGAGGCCGGATTCCACGTGGCCATTTTTTATTCAGTACCGCATGTAGGAGTTCATGTGGTACACGTACTGAATAAAAATTTGTGCAGGAGAGGGTGTGGCAAGGAGGAGGAGACTCGGCGAGGAGCAGGGCTTGGGCGGACCTTGCGAATTGGAAAAGGGGCGTGAGTTTGGGATTTGAACATTTAGGGAAAAAAAATTCTTCTTTTTTCTATATATAATATTTAATATTTTAAAATTCTCTAATTCCTGTGTTATTCATCTGTGCATGTGACTATAGAAAAGTGCATGTCCTTTCTAGGTAATTTTGACGTTTCGGACGCATCAGCGCAGTTCGTTTCATCATCCGAAGTCATTCGGACAACCTCGTTGATGATCGAGTCAAAAATGTGTCAAATTTGGTTTTTGTCAAAATTTCAGTTCGCGGTCGCTCATTTCAAAAATTTATTTAAGATTTCGATGAATAACAACGCAGACGATGTGAATTGTGATATTCGAACGTGTCAGGTAAACTAACGCATATGATGTGAATTGTGATATTCGAACGTGTCAGGTAAACAAATTGCAAAGTTTGTGCGCACAATTGTGTAAATTGTGCAAATGGCCATCCTAGGGCTTAAAGGTCCTATAGGGACTCCTTTTTGAGTTCTCTCATTCCCTCATGTTAGTTTCAACCTTCTAAGTGCTAGAGGTCAAGAACCACACACGAAACTTCAAAAGAGTATAGAAGCTGTTTGAATTTCTAAAATAAGGTGGGTACCATTTCTAAGGATCTAAGATAGTCGAAGGGAGAATCCTAAGGCTAGACCCTAAATCCTAAGAAAAAATTAAACCTAACTAAAAATGAGGTCAACAGCCTGATCATCTTTTTGATGGTATTGTTCATCACATGTTATTTCTTCATTGGGAAGCCTCCATCCGCCATCAAAGAACCTTATGCAGAGCGACTGTTATTCAAGTCAAGAAACCCTTTTTCAACCACTGGGTCAAGAGCCCTCGCCTCAAGTACGACACGCTTCCCATGCCGCTAAATCTTTTAACCAGATCTCATTCTCTTCCTCATAGCTAAGGGCACCGAAGCTCGAGCCTCCTTGCTAATGTACTTCAGAAACTTCCCCCCTTCCATACTCAACACCAATAAAGAAGTGGAAGAGGAATTTGAAATAACACTCAAAAGATAAGTACACACACCAAAATTATAACAAACTTAGCATAGAAACCAAGAAATGATTAATTATTATGCACTATATAGCCTTGAATGTCATAAGTTATTTCAAAATTTAGATTCTCTAGTTTTTATTACAATTGTCACTATCAAAGAGCAAAAAATTGGGGAACTATGATATGTACATCAAAAATATGTCAGCATGAATCACAAAAACATCTCGTGGATGGTAAAGGAGGTGACATGGTCCCACTGGATCTACCTAGGGCGACTCAAGGCTACACACTCAGTTGGTTAGTCCCACGTAACAGGAAGATGGCATAACCAAGACAGATAAGGGGTATATTGAGAAATTGAAGCAGATCCTCAAGCTCTAAGACAGTTGATGTGGACCTTCAACAAAAAACTGCCCAACCTCTTGACCTCTCGATCTTATCGCCGCCCAATCACACTCACGGGTCCCATGGGTAATATTTATATACGGACTAGAATACCCCTATCGTACCTACGTACTTTTAGGGGCGCAATGTGTAAATGTACAACGACACATTCCTATAAATAGATGATCTATTTTATGAATAAATGTTACACAAAATTACCATTCATTACTCTGCTATTATTCTCTCCTCTCTCCTTACCATCCTTCCAGCATTCTATTCCTTATGCAAGCCTTCCATACAGATTTGGATTCAACACACTTCAAGATAGTTTGCTTGATTGAGTAGTAGAGACTTCCAAACTAAAAAATATAAAATAAAATAAAATTATGAGTAAGAACATTTATAATGAAAATGTAGGCTTCTTTTCTTAAAATTTTGCTTGAAAAGGCTAAAAGAAGAAGAAGAATGAAAATGTAGGCTTCTTTTAAAATTTTGCTTGAAAAGGCTAAAAGAAGAAGAAAACATATGCTAGAAAAAATGGGTGCTCAAGCGCAGCCCTTTTATGAAAAAAATTAAGCTATTTATACCAAGTTGTAGCTTTAAGCAAATTTAATTTAATGCATAATAATTTTCTAATATTATTTTGTCAAGTAATAATATTATATTCTATAAATATTAATTTCTATCAAGTAATTATTAGATCTAAACATCTTGTTAACAACTAATAAAAAATATGCAAGTCAAACAAAATCTAAATAAGCCCAAGTGAATGTATAATAGGTTGCTATCTCAATAGCAAAGATGTCCTAATAAATTTGATTTTTCAATTTGAATCATATAAAGTATTCAATTTTCAATTTGACTCATATAAACTATAAAATTGTACCTCCAGAAGCCAATAATTTATTGGAGTAAATAGAAAGTTTTATTGTAATGAATCTGATTAGATATTTGCAGGAATAAAGTGTATTATTTTTTTGTCTATTATTAAATATATTTATTTATCTTCACATAATATTAAATATTTTACTTAAAAACTCATATTTATTCGAAATTTATCATAAAAAAAAATTATTGTACTAAAGTAAAATATATTTTCTACTCTAAATATCTCAATTATGTTATTTTGATAAATTTGATAGTATGCATAAAATATTTTAAAAAAAGATTTAAATTATGAAAAGTATAATTAAAGATTTAAAATATTCTTAATTAATAATATATAAAGGAAATAAAATGAATATATTTGATAGTAAACAAAAGTAAACTATACAAGAAAACTCTTATCATTATTTTTTAGGTTTTTTTAGATGCATACATATTTTGAGCTCCATGCTATCCAGCTCGATCTATAATAGATTCTTCTATGCTCAAATCATGGTCTAATTTACAAATGACATATTCATAAATTAATACAATTGAAATACTTAATTCATATATTAGATCCTACAACATACTCTTTTTATCATCAAGATTAACATAATATATTATAAGGCTCATTAAGGCTCCTTTTGGGGCAACTTATCCACCGCGTTGGTGTTTTCACCATTTGGAAACTGCGTTTGAGTAGCTTATTCGAAAACTCAGTTAATTTTGCACACTAAATGCGGAACGCGGGTCGAACCATGCGGTCCACGTTTCATATAAGCGACTTATCTGGATAAACACAAGTTGCCCCAAACGTACCCTAAGCCAACACCTCTCACAGTCCTCAAACCAAATTTCTCAGTCCCCCATACAAATAGTAATCCAGGCTTTCCTCCATTTTGCTTTGAAGTCCAAGTACAAGATTTTGAGAGCCTTAAGCTCGCGAAGACATATGAGATGAAGGGAGAGAAAATTGAGGGTTACCTTTGTCAATGGTTTTTGGTAGGAGCCGGGTGAAAGGAGGAGAAATATGAGAGTTTTAGATTTCTTCGTATGTTGCAATTCTGTCTCTTTCTTCCCAATTTTTAGGATGTCGGGTTTAATGAAGATATGATTTTTTTTTCTGAGCTTTGCTTCACTTGTGCACTTTCCCTTCTTCTACTAACGAGCACGATTGAATTGAGTAGCAGATGGAGGTCGTAGTTCGTTGAGAACATGTAACACTATTAAGAAAATATTAAATGGTGTAATTTTTTAAATTTGAGTATCAAATACGTAGTATTAATAATTTTGAGTATTACTTATTTAATTTTTTTGAGCTATTTACATACATAGCATCCAATTCTCTAGCATTTAGGTATTAAACATAAAATTTTATTTTACAGACACAACACCAAGATAATAACAACACTCACGGTAATAATATTCACTCTTTTCAATAGTGAATGCACATTTTCATATATAACTAAAATATCTTTATAGCATTTAGGTATTAAACAAAAAATTTTATTTTACAGACACAACGCCAAGATAATAACAACACTCAAGGTAATAATATTCACTCTTTTCAATAGTGAAATGCACATTTTCATATATAACTAAAATATCTTTATGAAAAAAAGTTTTGGTGTGAGATAAGCAAATGTGTAAGGCTCTGATTGGGCCAGCTTATTCGCAGCTACGAGACCGCCTAACTGTTTGGAAACTACGTCTGAGCAGCTTATTCAATAACACAGTTGTTTTTTTATACCAAATGCTGAACGCGAGTCGAACCCCGCGGTTATCATTTTCAGATATGTGACTTATCTGGACAAACACAAACTGCCTCAAACTCACCCTAAGAATTGAGGGTTGCTTATGTAAATTTCCCTTTTATTATTTTATTTTATTTTATTTGATTTTTCCGGTGGGACTCGCAAAGCCCGCGGAACTGAACGGACGCCGTTCTTTCCGCGTCTCACAAAAAGATATGCCCGACTCGGCCCTGTCATTTTTGCCTGCTCCTTTCTTCTCCCCTCTGTCCAGCACTATTAAAATCTAGGGTTTCTGAGTGGAATCCTCACACAGATCATCTCCGGAAACTTTTCCACTTATTACTATTTGTACGTGGCTGTCTGATCTTGCGAACCATAGCGGTGTGACCTTTTTGGCTCTTATGTTTGCCGAGTGACGACCGCAACGGCGATCTTCAAATACGGAGAAGATGAAGCCGATGAACACATTTCTAGATGTGGTCGAGGAAGCGAAAGTTCGAGCTGTGTTCTTGGCCATCTGCGTTTATGGGATCTCATACTTCTTATCGCGTAAGTTTATCCGATCCGCCGGCTTCTAAATGCCCTAGCTTCTGCATTTCTTTGTTGATTGCCTTCGTTGGCTGGACTGTTAATTTGTTTTAATTGGTTCATTCGTCATAATGCTGCTTGGATTGGTTTTTTAGTCATTGATTGCGGGGGTTTAAGTTTGGTCTTGAATTTTACGGAAGATTTATAAATGCTGTATTTCCAGACTTTTCTCTTAGAAAGGTTGATTAAAGTAATGTATTTTTATTGAGAATTTTCCGCTAGAACAGAAGCAAATGAGGAAATTTGATGTTGAAACGATGGTATAAACTGCGGCGAGATGACCAGGGTGATATAGATGCTAGTTTATAGTTCATGTTCTTTACTTTTAGGTAGTGCTCAGGAATGCATTTATTATTGTGTAAATTTAGTTGCATCATAGTTTCATCAAACATCAAAATGAAAAATAGAAATGCCAGTCAAGTTAGATACATTGTATTTGCATATTTTGAAATTATTATGCGTTGGGTCTAAAGGAGAAATTGTTATGATTAATTTTAACTAATCAATTTCACTTTATTTCTATTTGAATGAGTGAAGTTGATTCAATATTTAAAAAAAAAACACGAATATTCATCATAACATAGTGTTAAATATATTCTAAGATTTGGGAAGCTATGGTGTCATTAGTGTCATTGGTTAAACAATCATTTTAATGATGTCTTGAATTTATATGAAAGTCTTGATGATTGTAGAACTAATTTGTTATTCAAATCTTATAACTTGTGTCTTGTATCATCTTAGTAGCATCATCTTTAATCAAAATTTTCACAGCTCATAGAGGTCATGGCTTGATTAGTAAAACTATTTTTCCCATGTCTTGAACTAATTCAGTCAACATTGCCTGCACTTAAGGGTGCATGCAACAACTGGATAGGATCAAGCGGAGGAGATTAATGGGGTTTTAAGTTAAAATGCTGCATATCATTTATTTCTCCCCTCCCCCATCCCTTGGTTTCACGATACTACAGAGCCCCTGCGATCCGAAACTGTAGTAGAGTAGGGCAAGTAGTTAGGCAGGGAGTCGCAACATTGGGCTGGAAATTCTGAGCCCCTCCTTTACGATATTTGTGACATTCCATTCCTTCCCTAGGCCTGAAGGAATCCATGACTCCAACACTGTAGCTGGAGTCGGGAACATGCGCAGGCGTACGATAGAGGGTCGCAAAATTTGATTAAAAGCTCCGCCAAGATATTAGTAATTGGGAATCTCATTTTTGTGCTATTCGAGACATTCTTTTTCTTCTTTACGTTTATTTTTTGACATTTTTTATGAATTAATGCATTATGTGTGTTCTTTATCACTTTAGCTTTGCGGGAACAACCACGGGACTGTTGAACTGAGAGCTATACGCTTTGGTAGGTCCATTTAACTAGGTGAGGAACAATTTAGGGGAAATGAAGAAGAGAAGACATAACATAAAAACATTGAGGAGGCACATTTATGTCGAGAAGCCCTTTTGAGGTAAGTTAAAGCAAGAAAAATCATATTTGAGATTAAATTAAAATCTCAAATATGAATTTCATTAATTTTTAAGGGTTATGAATTCCAGTTTGTTTACACTAAGGGCGAGCTCGAGATGAGCTTGGGGAAACTCTTTGTATGGCTGCTCCATCAATTTATGTGAAATAATCATGTGCTAACTTAAGAAAAATAACTCTTTGTAGGTTTCTATGTGATTATGTGTTTGACACTATTATATTTAAAATTTTTTACATATTGTAGATGAATACTTATATAAACTCTATGGATGTAAATTTGATTTATCATATACGATACCTATGGTTTTATCATGCTATGAATCTGATGAGCTTGTTTTTGAAATTATTGCTTGCATATATTTATTTAATATGATTCGTGCATATGATATGTGAAATGCCTATGATGAATGCTTGTTACGAGAAATTTGATTTAAGAAATACTATAAATGTTGTAATAGGTGCTATTACATGGACATTTGTAAGTACATATGATAGGGAACAATGAAATTTCTGACTTTTGGTATGCAAACGGAGACAACACTCTGGGAACCTTTAAGATTATACGAGGAAGAATTGTAGGGAATCATTGGTACCAAAAGACTATTGATAACTACTGTGTTGAAAGGGATCTAATCTTTATCAATAGTTGATGAGCCTTTGGGTTGGGTGACGACCCATGACAAGACATGATATTGAAATAGTTAAGACCTATAAAATTATAAGTGATATTCTTGTATTTAAATTGATGACTCTAATGGATGTGATTATGATTATACATGAATGAATGAAATACATATTTTATACAATAGTTATAATTTTCTTCATTGCCTGTATTTTATTTTACATGTTTTATACGATTATAACATGTTGTAACATGTCTTGTGGACATGTACATGAGTTGTATATGATCATGCATGTTTTTTTTCCTTTTATAAAATTTTATTTTAATTTTCATTATTTCGTTAAGCTTGTTGTAGTTCACTCTACGTTATTGACTCTCAGGAAATGGTAAGAAGCAGCGAGACGAGTAGCCATGTGTGATTTGTACAGTTTTTGCATATAATTTTGGGAGTTTGTATTGACTTTTGGTATGCATTTTTGTTATGTGGGATTTTGCAGTCTTGTATAGATATATACATATTTTGATGATATGATTTTCTCACTTTCATGTATTTGTAAATTCAAATGATTTATGAAATTAAATATATCAAATATGTTTGCGGCGATATAGTTAGATTAGTTCACAACTCACTGAGTTTTGATTCTACAAGTTAGGATGAGTGTTGTAGAAAATTTAGCGTTGGGTTGTGACACTGGAGACAATAAAAATGCATTCTTTCATGGTAAGTTAGAGTGCATGAAATTCAAGGAATGAAACACAATCCATCACCTTTTACTTTTTCTTCATGCAATTGATAACCGTAGATAATCTGTTGGTAATTTGAAATTGAAGATAATTAGGAAAGTTTAATGAGTTTAAGGAATGTATAATAAAGATAATAATGATTTAAGGGAGATGAACAAAAACCTTAGCCCTGGATTAAAGAGGTATATTTTGCAATTTAATTGTATTAATGGATTAGTAGGATTTTATTTAGATATTTTGACATTATCATGCATCTTCCTTCTTTATAAATAGTATTTTGTAGTAGAGCTTAATTCTTAATTCATGAATGAATGAAATAATTCAGGAGCATTCAAAACTTCTCCTATTTTACTGGAACAAGCCCTTCATCCATCCCATTTAAACCATCAAGTCTTACTCACTTTTTCTCTACTTGAAATCCTAATGTTCTCATTAACTAATAAATAGATTAAGGGAAAGGAGATGAAGAAGAGGGGCAGTAGACGAGAAAAGGAAGGTACACATGAAATATAAGGGAGATTAGGAGAGCCATCTACAAGAAGAGGAATACATGAAGGATGTAATTCTTGTGTATCTTCTAGTTTCCTACTCTCAATTTTCATTTCTTCCAAATGTATATTCCATCTCATTAGCCTTCTTGACCTCATCTAAATCTTCACGAAGAGTCCTTTCTGAAACTGTTGCAAAGGGAACAGAACCTTTTTGTTAAGTTCTTGTAAATTTTCACTAGTTTTATCTAGCCTACTTATTATAAGCTCCACAAAAGTGACCTAGCCTACAGTAACCTTGATTGATCTAGTAATCAAGGCTAAACCGTAGTCACTGGTGTTGGAGCAATCTCATATCTTAGATTGAGGGGAGGTTCACTGGAAATTATCCTCTCATTTTGGGATCATTGATACAAAATCAAGTCATGAATTCTTTCAACAAGTTAAAATTTTGCCGTGCAACTATGCTGCATCTGGCTGTAAAACACTTTTTATTGCATGCTACAAATAAAAAGTTTGTTAGGTCATACTTTTCATAAGAGCAATTTGAAAGCATTATCGAATGAGATTCTTGAATCATTGGATACATTATTGGCACAATTTCGGAAAAAAAAGTCATAGTTTGGATTTTTAGATTGATATTAATCCAAGGTTATCAAATGGAGATCTTGTTTTAAGATGCTGGCTGGGTATAAGGAGCAATAAAAAGATGTGCAGGACCTGTTTCTTTGGAATTTGTTGGGAAGAGATGCATAGTTAGGGCATTTTATGTTTATGGATATTTTGAGATGTATCTAGTGTTCTTGGATGGCAGGTGAGTTTTCAATCATAACAATGTTATGGTATGATTTGGAGTGAGTCATTGATCTTCTTTACAGCCATAGACTTTTTGTTTTGTATGATAATATTCTTAGATGTTCTAATTTGCTTGCGCACTCCTAAAAAAGCAACTTTTATGGTGTCTAATATACTTCAAAATGTCTAGACTTTTTTTTTTCTTAACTTGTGTGCCTGAAAGGAGATGGATACATCACATTCAATATTGCTATTTTTTTTTTACTTTTTTTGATTTTTTCTAAATGTTTGGGACCCTCACCTCCCTCTTAGGAATGCAAAAGGCAATCCACCTATGCCACTTCTAATTATCATTTTTTTTAATATTCTTGGTGTTTATGAAGATTTTTTATGTTAAATGTTTTAATATTATAATATGAGGAATTAAGGATCTTATTTAAGATTTGAATGGCATTATGAAACACTGATTTATTCATGTTAAATCAACATAACCACTTTAGAAGACCATTATTATTGTGGACGAATTTATTTTAAGTTGTGCATGTTTTTGTATAATTAAATTATTTTTCTTTTTGGGAACTTCATTTAATCTCAAATTCACACACTTGCATACAAAGGCGTTGAACCCATAACCTTTTTTGCGGGAGTTGAAGCTCCTTTCCAATAAGGCAAGGTACGTTGCATTATATATATAAATGTAGATATCCGCATATGTGAATGTATATACATTTAGAAATGCATGTACTTTCCTAGGACGTGTTCTTCTCATATATTTTTCTAGAATTGTCATTGCCATTTTGTGTCCAGTTTGTTTATTCCTCTACGTGTGTCCA